AGAATAGAATGGTTGTACAGGGCAGTAGGACAGCGCCGCTGCAGTTCTGAAGAACTGACCCCGGTTTTCATCTTGATCTGTTTATTTGGTCGGACATTTCAAGTGGTGGTTGAATTGTTTGTTGGTTCTCTTTAATGGGAAATAAAATATCTAATTTGCTTTTCTTTTTGAGGAGGAAACTAGATTGTGGGTGTAATGCTTTGCATAGAATTTAAGTGAGCCGTATTGTTTATGGCTTATAAATAATGTGATTTCCTATCATTTTAAATTATTTATAGATATACTGATTACTCAACAATTATTATTTATGAGTGTTGTGCTTCATTTTGTTTCCAGCCATACCTCTTTTCTGATTTATGCGAGTCATCAATCTTTATTCTGTAATTTCTCAAATGTCTCAACAGCGCCTGTTTGCTTGAATGTTGTGCAGGATTCTTGGAAGACAACTCTACTTTTGAGAGTGAAGGAAAAGCTGAAATCTAAAGAACTCGAGGAGGACGATCTCACCTAAATTGTTTGCACTCTGTTCTCGTTGTTTGAATCAAATGTCTGAGGGGTTGCATTGTATTGTCATATGCTTATTATACGTGCAGTTGCTTGTGGGTCTACTCATAAATTGTACTTTATATTTGGGTATCATTTGAAGTGGTGGTTTGATTGAATTCAAGAATTGAGTTCGTGAGTTTATATGTTTCTGTTTTGTGTTCTCTTGTCTTTTGTTTTATTTTTTTCTCCGGGAAATGAGTACCATTTGTACTTTGTTTGTTAAAGTAATTACCTTAGGAAAAACATCGATTTATGTTTTATTTTCCACACACAATTCATCCTTAATAATTTCAACTCAGAAAAAAATTCATCCTTAATAATGAAAAATATTCTGAATGACCAAGCCATGCAGTTAAGGGGTGTTGTTTTAACACTATTGACGAGGATAGAATGGAATGAGAGAAAATAGCGAGAAAAGAATAACAAAGACAATGATCTCTTTACGTGTGTTTGGATAAACACAATAAAACATTAAAAAGGGATCAATTTCATAATAACAACATTTGTGGTTAGAATTGTGGCGTCATGCCTCTTTCTTTTTCTCTAAGGCAATTTTAGAAAGCATGTTTATTTTCCTTCAAAATCGTTTAGTTGGAAAATAAAATTAAGGGAAAACGCGAAACTCTTTCTCCTCCTCTTTTCTTTTGTTCTTATTTTTTTACTAATACCCCAATAAATCTATACTCCAGCTTTCCCCCAACGTGCCACAACTCGTGCTCTGCTCTTCCCCTCTATACCAATACCTTTATAATTAATAGAGCTGTCAATAAAGGCTAACCCAGCCCTAAAGGGCTAGCCCTTGAAGGGCCAGGGCCTAAAAGGGCCGGCCCTTTAAAACCCACATATCTTAAAATTATCTAATTATTAAAGCCCGGTCCTTCAACATGCGGGCTCAGGGTTTAAAAGAACTGGCCCTTTTATGTTATTTTTTTTAAATTTAAATTCTTTTTAATTATTTTAAAATAAAAAATAAAACAACAAAACTTCTAAGATTTTTTATTCAAATTATAAATATAAGTAAAATAAATTAGTGGTGTATAGAAAAAAAACTAAATGCCAATAAACTATTGTCCAAAATAAAAAAAAAATCAAAATCTAACAAAACACGAAACACAGAAAGATAAAACCTAGTAGTTAAAGATTAACAAGAAACCAAGGAGGTAAAAACAATGTTCCCCACTCGCTACGTCGCAACTTACGGTCATTCCCCGAAATTTGTGACCATAAGAAGCACGAGGTATTATTGAAATTCTAATATGTTATTAAAGCTAAATAGAGATTCAGTCGATTTGCTGCGGTACCATCTAAAGAAGGATGAACTCAGTTTTACATATCAAATAACTTTAGCACCAACAGACTTCCTAGTCGCCTCATCTAAAATGCTATACGAGATTGTGAGGATACACGAATCTAGATCAAATGGTAACAAACCATATGAAACAAGAATACACTCCTGCTATGACTCTTTTCACCTTCAAATTTATCTGTTAATGTCCCCACAAGACTAATGTGAACACCCGACCTTTTTATTCTAAGACCTAAATTTCATACAGGGTCGAATCTCCAATAATGGATCGAGTTCACCTCCACATAATTTTAGCAGAGTGACACACGAAGGGAAAGCAATGAAGAGAAGGATGCCAAACGATGCGTCTATTACAACCAGGAAATCCGGAACTCAAAACAGCCAACTCCGAACGAATTTTATTAGACGACTGAGAGCTCAAAAATCATAGCACCGACCATTTCGTTCCCAATCACCATATCTGGTAGGCTCAGGTCCTTTGGGCCCACCTACCTCACCGGTTTCTTCATTCACATGGACATCATCGTCATCGCCACTGTCTTGTTCTTCTTGGCCTTGAGTATTATCAGTAGTGCGATTCTCTTGCAAAGCCTTTGTTTGTTCCTTAACTGAATTGTCCTGTTGCGATTGGAAGTGTCGAGTTGTAGAACAGATGAAGCGTGTCACTGATGCAGAAGCAGAACAAGCCAGTGGTTGGGCATTGGTGCAGTTAAGTGCATGATTGGCGGCTGAGAAATTTGTTACTGATATAAGCAGGCGGCTCAGAGAGGTGCTCATTCTTAAACTGACGAGACAGAAGCACCCTGACTGTCCTGATACTGAACATAATGATCAGGTTACGAAAAACATCATTTTAAAATTAATGATTTAACTAAATAAAGCAAGGATTTGGGAATCAATTTCTTTCAAAGTGCACGATAAGATCAAAAAGCATTTTTCTAGAATTCACGCACACACCCTAGCCAGACTTTTTTATTTTTGGAGTGGAAAACTCTAGCCAGCTTTTTTCATTTCGAACCATAGGCCCTCCTTATAGAAGGGACATGCAACGGGCATTCTAATGCAATATTTTGCTCAAAAACAAAGCTAAAACAACCAATGCTGATTCCACCTAAAAAAGGGACAACATGCATGTTTCAGACAACAATTCGACCCAATTTAAGATAAAATATATTCTAGATCATGATAAATTTAGTGCCACAGCAACCATGCCTTAACAACATTTGAACCCAACTTAAGCCCAAAGAGATGCTACATCATGGTAAATTCATCAATGGGACGCAGCACCATGTACATACAGAGTTTTGGCATGACAATTAGATTAGGAATTCAGATTAATTCCGTGCTAAAACAAAAGGGATAGGAAAATGCCAACATCATATTAATCAAGATTTTAGGCACGAAACTTAAGTTAGAAACCAAGATTAAGTGACAAAAGAGAAAGCGTCATACCAACATCATATTAATCAAGACTTTTGGCACAAGAATTAAATTAGAAAGCAAGATTAAGTAACGAAAGAGACAGCATCATGAAACATCATGTTAATGAAGATTTTTGGCACAAAACTTAAACTAGAAGCCAAGACCAAGTTGTGCTAAAACAAAAGAGACAACAAGATAATATCAACCCAGAAATTAGGCACATAATTGATATTAAAAGAAGGATTAAACAGGAGATACTAGAAGTTCTACCAAGAAGTTTGATCCAAGCCCTCACACACAGAGGACCTATATTACAGTCAGTGGGGGCATCTGTGCCCTAACTGAAATCTTTGAAATATGCATAGTTAATATAATACACTTCTAATTTTTGTTCCCAACATTTTGACACAACTTGAGCCAAGTTATTTACAAGATCATACAGAACAAATACCTTGAGAATTTTCTAAGTTGAGGATAATATAATATAAAGAGAATAATAAACAGAATGCCAAAACACAACAAGTCCAACATCGCAAAAACAACACAACCCAGATTATACAAGTCACTGGAAACCAAAATGAAGAGGGCAGAAATATAATAGCCAATTACACACCATTCAAGCCGTACCTTTTTTTTTTTTTTTAAATCAACCTGTAAATATTCCCAAATTCAAAAGCGTCAATGTTCAAGCAATTACTCAGACCAATTCAAAGCTCTTAAATGAAAAATTTGGATCAAAGCAAGAACAGACACGCAGGTAATGATGACGCGGCGAACAAAAAAATCCAGATTGAACAAATCAATCTCACCCGATTTTGGGAGCAGACAAAGCCCTAGGGTTCGAACCTTCTTCACTACTTTCCCGATAAAAACCACGCACGGCTGACAACGGTGGACGTCCGGCGGAGCGTGGAAGGTTTGTTCGTGGACGAAGAAAAATGGATTGGCTCCTTTGATTGTCGGCAATTTTCCCGATAATTAATTTTAGGGAGAATTACGTTTTTTTTTTTTCCTGTGACCACCGCATTTTGCTCGGCACTGCATTTATTTATTTTAGAAAATAATTAAAATAATATAAATTAGCTGATAAAATATTTTTGACCCTGATATTAATTTTTAAGTATAATTTTGACTTTGAGGAGTAAAATTATACCTAAAAATTAAGAGCAAAATTGTACTTAAAAAAAGATCATAGACAAAATTGTAATACTGAAAGATGAAAGATCAGAGATAAAATTACACTTTAGGAATAAGATTAGAATCAAAATTTCACCTTAACCCAAAAATAAATTTAAAAAATACCACCTATAAATTTATAAAATATCTTTAAAATAATAAATAAATATCTCAAGATTAAAAAATTAGTGAAATTTACAGTTACGAAGAATGTGACTGAATTTTTAAACCGTATGTTTATATGCATGCACCTTTAAAGCGCACGCACTTATTAAAATGTTTATGTCAAAAAATAAAAGAATTCATTCAAAGCCTTAAGTTAAAAATATTTTTTTAATTATTAAAAACTTCTAAGACCAAGTTAAATTGTTTTTTTATATTTCGGACAAGAAAATCAAATTGTTTAGCATAAAGTTTCCATGGATGAAAAATTCCTACATTATTTTGTCTTTGCCTGCTTTCCTCTTTTGCTTAGTGGAAAAAACAAGTATTTCTTTTCTGTAGAAAGCGACGAGTATTCATCCCACATTGGAGAATCAATTCTATGCATTCTGTTGTTATTCGCTAATCATCCTCACTTTGCCAACTCATTACCTGCAATTGATCTTTTTCATCTTATAGTTGGAGTTTCGGTTCTACTTTCGGTCCATATTGTTCAACTACCATTAATTTTGTGGAATTTGAACTCTACCGATTAGCTCAGACGAAACCATTGGGTTTCAACGCCTTCTTTTGCTTCTTTCTTATGTTGGAGTCTGTTTAGAGGTATGTTCAACTTCCTTCCTCCTCTTATACTTCTGATTCTTTTACTTTTTCCATAAGCTTCTTCTTTGACTGTCATTAATAGCATTTGTATAGTTCGGTCAGTAAATTGACGGGTTCTGATTGATCGAACTTCATAACTAGTCTATTGGATCGTCTTTAAAACATATCAGCTCTTAGGGTTCTGTCTTCGTTGTTGAGTTGCTTATATAAATTTCCTTCTGCTTCCCGTTATCATTTTTTTTTTTTGTTGGTTGGCTTTGAAAACTAAGCCGAGTAATAAACTTCACTGTACTCTTTTCGCAGTATTGTCGCTTAACTCCTTGATGACATCATTCTGATTTTGATTGGAAAAGTTGAGACTCCTTCTGAGAATGGTTTCCGTTGATAATGGTAATGTCAATAATGAAATCGAGGAAAAAAAGGGTACTGAAATAAAGGAAATTTCAGCTTCTCCAGAGACCGCTATAAGCGGTGAAAATCCTGTGCGGAAGTCTCAAAACACGTTGAGCTGTCATCCTCCTAGTGGGATTAAGTTCCACAAACTTGGTTCTGCATTAGTCAAATCCATGACCGAGAGCAGCCAGATTTCACAATCTGTGCCTTCTGGTACATATCACTTGGGGAAACGGTTCAGTGGCGTGTTTACGCAGAAACTTGACTGGAGTTCCCTCAAGAATATGTTCAAGGAATGGATTAGAAACCCAATGAACATGGCTCTTTTCGGGTGGATCATCTGTGTTGCTGTTTCTGGTGCAATTCTCTTCCTTGTTATGACTGGAATGTTGAACAGTGTGCTTCCAAAGAAGTCTCAGAGAAACACGTGGTTTGAAATTAACAATCAGATACTCAATGCTCTGTTTACACTTATGTGTTTATACCAGCACCCCAAAAGATTCCATCATCTTGTACTTTTGTGCAGATGGAGACAGAATGATATCTTTGCGCTTAGAAAGGTGTACTGCAAGAATGGAACCTATAAACCACATGAACGGGCACATATGATGGCAGTGGTTCTTCTCCTTCACCTGAACTGTTTTGCTCAATATGCGCTTTGTGGTCTAAATTTGGGGTACAAAAGATCAGAGAGACCTGTCATAGGAGTTGGAATTTGTATATCTTTTGCAATAGCTGCGCCAGCAATTGCTGGTCTTTATACCATTCTTAGCCCTCTTGGTAGGGATTATGATTTTGAGATGGATGAAGAAAAACAGGTCCAAACCACTTCATCTCAAAAACCATTGGAGAAAAAATATTCATTTGCAGCAAGAGATGAACATAATAGGGTGTTTGAGAATGAACCACGGTGGAGAGGAGGAATACTTGACATTTGGGAGGATATCTCCACTGCATATCTCTCCCTCTTCTGCACTTTTTGTGTGTTTGGTAGGAACATGGAGAGACTTCGTTTTGGAAACATGTATGTTCATATTGCTACTTTCATTCTGTTCTGTACAGCTCCATTCTGGATTTTTATATTCGCTGCTGTTGACATTGATAATGACACTGTTAGAGAGGCTCTAGTAGCCACTGGGATCATTCTTTGTTTTCTTGGTTTGTTGTATGGTGGCTTTTGGAGGATCCAAATGAGAAAGAGGTTCAATTTACCTGCCTATACCTTCTGTTTTGGTGAACCCTCGATTTCTGACTGCACAATATGGCTCTGCTGTTTCTGGTGCTCGCTTGCTCAGGAGGTAAGAACTGGGAATTACTATGATGTTGTAGATGAAAAATTCTGTAGGAAAGAAGGGGATATCAATGACCAACCTTCAATTTTGTCACTGCCTCGTGAAGATGGAGCATTGACCTCACCTGACACAAGTTCCTCTCTGGGTAAAAACTCTTTCCCTCAAGACCATGACATCTAGATCTTTAAGTTCTGATACGCCGCTATCCACTGTAAAAGACAACTCTTTTGAAACAGGTAAAAATGGAGCAATGAGCCTACCAAGTCCAGGCTTTATTAGAAGGGATGGCCCGTAGGCACCAGGGGAACCGGGGAAAAAATGCAGAGAGAGATCTGTTTCACTGGCTTCAAGTGACTTTGAATAGGAGAATCTCTTGAATGTTGGATGGTGACTTTTTACTGACTCCTTTTTGCACGCTTTTCCTGGGTTAATAGTGGGTTATATGGAAGGTAAACAACACATCTGTAATTGATGATCACAGAATTGTAACCTTGTTTCTCTAATTTTATTTGAGGGAAATTGAAGATTGTCAATTTTTCATGTGGCTTGTTTATACCAGGTTGAATCATTGAATGTTACAGAAAGAGACAATGGATGTTTAAAAAAAGAGGGAGAGAGACGAGAATCTCACATGCAATTATATTATTTTTTATTTATTTCATCAGTGGATAACCATTAATGATTAAATGGTGGCTGGTAGGGATCGAAGCAAGTAATTTTTTTCTTGGCGAACAACGCTTTGTTTGGGTCAATTCTCATCTCCATTTGCTTTGAGAAGGCCTTTGTGTTTTGTCGGTGAGCAAAATAGGTGACACCATCGATCGGGCGGGCCTTTAGCACCTGCCACCGAGCGTGGTGAGCGAGAGCATAAGCTGGAGCGTTGGACTACCTGTCAGGAAAAAAGGCAGGTATAATGTTGATTTGGAACCGCCCCCCGGGGGGGTTCTCCTCCTATTTTTTAATATAAAATCCTGTTTGATTTTTATTTTGGTTTTAAATATAAACCTTAATCTACTTTATTTCTCATATTATACATTTTTTTCTTCTAAAGTAGCCTTTCTAATAATGATAGTTCTAGTCAATACACTTGATTAGCAAGGATATTTTAGGAAAGACAATACCTATTTAAGATAAATAACTAACTCAACTTACTTCTTTAATCTCCTCAAATTAATCAACTGGCTCTTATAATTAGGATCAGAGATAGTATAAGATCTAATTAATTAATTTGAATATATTAATTATATTATTTAAATTAGTTGATATGATGTTTTTTCTAAAACATCCTAAATATTTTTTTTAATTCCCTTCCTCCTCTTCTTACGTGATTATTGTTGAGAAAATATTAATAGGATTAATTTGAAAAAAAATTGATAAACATATGAATTAGGTCTTATATATAGAGTCAATAATAACTCTCTAATTAGATCCTATACTAAGTACTGAAAAAGTACTAATTTTTTTTATCCTGTAACGGCAATCAAACATTAAGTATGCGTTAATTTAATAGAATAATTGTTGCTCGATATTGAGACGCATAAGACCTAAAGTATTTGGTACGTAAGACCTTGGTTTTAAATTATGCATTAACATAATAGGCCCCCCTCTTTCACACGGAAAAAAGAAAAAGAAAAGAAAAGAAAAATTACGCATTAACATATGGTAACATATGCCACAGTGGAACACCTAAGCCAAATTATTCCATTGATAAGCTAAATTCCTTATATAGATGAGCTAATTCCTATTTTTACCCCAACAATTCCCTTATATTTTAATCAACCAAAATCATTTTTTTCCTTAATTTTAAACAAACTCGCCCTAAATTTTAGCTAAATTCGGTTTTTCACTCTGATCCTGATCTCCAATGACCGGTGTTATATGCGTTTTTAGCATGCTCTTCTATCATATTTTTCTTTTTCCCATTTTGACCTTGGCAACTCAAGTGCTCGCCTGCATGGGAGGAGGGGCTCTCTCTTTCGGCTCGCTGCCACATTGTATGTTTTGAAGGACAATAACAGGGCAGCCTAAAGTGTAGGCCTTTTCTTAGGGAGAAGACCTAAAGCGGACGCTTTGTGTTTAATAAAGACAGTGCACTTGGTTTTCCGGGGTCTGTGGGGTGGGACTCAAAGGCGTCCCTATCCTATTCCTAATCCACATACGCCTCCAATGAATGGCGTGATATGTTCCATAACATTGTGGGGTTAGCGCTTTTATATTATATATGTGTGTGGTTACAAATCATCATCCCAGTTCAACCCTAGGTTTTGCTGCATCAGCTGGAGGGAATAGTTATAACATCCATGTAACCCCCTTTTCTTTTCTTTTTTTTTTCCAATTTCTACACAGGGAGGGTGGAAAATGAGATCCAACGTGGTCCACTATCCCAGCTACCAGTTTAATATTCAAGTTTACTTTTTTAATCCTGATGGAACTTTGCCAAAATAATACTGCCGCAGTTGAAGTCTGATATACCACTACTGCATTAAGTCGTGGTAGTGCCAGTCCTAATCAACAAGAATTCTGATTCTTGGGTCTTGCTTCCTGAGAACTTTTAGAAAAAAAGGATCATTCATGATGAAGCATCCATTATAAATTATTTGAGAGCTTCTGTGAAGAATGGTGACGCACATGAAGAATATCTACTCCTCCGAGGGGGCTCATTAGGTGAGTTTGGGTGAGAAATAGATCACATCGACGAGGAAATATTGAAAAAATTATTTGGGACAGCAAAGAAAGATACGAAAAGCCTTGTTGGACGCATTCAGTTGGGTGGGCGCCACAGGGGGGGAAAGTGGTCCAGCCTCTGCCTCTGCACTCCCTCGGTTTCCTAAAACAAGCTGACTTTTCTCAGTGCCGCTTTTAGTAGGATGGTATTCATTCCTCTGTAAAATATAAACTAAATTTTATTTATTACGTTATCAAAAATCAATTTAAAATAATAAATATGTTAAGTATATATTTGTTTTCCTGATATACTTTTATTAATAGAAAAAATAAATAAAAAATATAATAAAAATTTTAAAAAATATATATGTGAAGAAAAAATTAGAAAAAATTTATTAAATATTTAGATAAAAGTGAATATTATTTTATAAAAAAACTAACTTTTTTTTAAAAAATTTAGCTTATATTTTGAATGGGACGAAATATAAGTCCTGTTTGGCAGAGCGGTAGAAATTTCTTATAAGTATGTTTTACATAAATCAAGACAAAATTCATCTTATATTCTGTAAATCATTATTAAAAAATTATTTATAAATCGTTTCAAAGGGTCCCATAGTTTTCTTTCTCCCGCCGTTTCCGATTTGCGATTCTGCGATCCCAAATCCCCTAAACTGAAAAGTGAATCAGTGCTATCATAAGAAAAACAAATAAATTAAGAGTTTTTTGCCGCCCATTCCTTTCTCCGTCGATTCGCCTTAAAAAAAAAGAAGTCAGTGTGTTAGGATTTGTGTATGGGGGCCGGTGCCGACGGTTGAATAGAGAGAAAGAAGGCCGAGGGTTGTGGTGAGACGTAAAGATACGGAGGGTGTTGATGGGCGACGGCGTGAAATTAAAATGCAGTGAGTATTTGTTGTTTGGGTTTGGGTGGTAATTTTCTTTGGTTAGAGGGGGCACGGGGTTTGAGGTGGGCATGGTCTCATCTTCGTAGCTGTCGCCCGTTAATTTGACCTGTCGTTTCGGCACTGCACCCATTTATTGACTCGTTTTCATTCATTCATGCTGTGCTCATTACTATTCTTCCCACTTTGCTGTGCTATGCTATGCTGTCACCTTATCACATCTCATTACACTTCTTCGCCCCTGCCCGGGGAGGGGGCTAACAGTTGCCTCCTCTGACTTACTTCTTCCTTCCCACTCCCCACCACTCCACTTGAATTGGGAACCACTTCCAACCTAACCACATTTTGAATTTTCTGTCTCAATACTCATTTCAATCACGCTCCTTCGAATTCTTTTTATGCCTATAACTTATTATTTCTGATTTTTAATATAAGATTTTATTTGATTTTTATTTTTATTTTAAATATAAGATCTCAATCTATTTTGTCTATTATATTTATGTATTTTTTTCAAGACAATCCTTTTAATAATAATAGTTTTAGCCAATATATTTAATTAGTAAGGATATTTTAAGAAAAACAACACATGTTTATTATAAATAACTAACTTAACTTATTTCCTTAATCTCTTCAAATTAGTCAACTAGCTCTTATATTTATAATCCGAAGTAGTATAATTCTTTACTAGATCTCATTATCTTTTACGAGTGACGTTTTACAAATATATGGATATTTAATATATTTTTTATTTTTAATTAGTTATATCATTGATTTTTTCTTATTTTTGTTTTTGTTCATTGTCTCTCACTCGCATTCTTTTATAAAGTAAGAGTGTTTTCATAAAATATGTCACAGTTACTTAATATAATCATTGCATTTCACTACTTTTTTCTTTTCTATATAAGTAATTTGATTTTTTTATCTTACGGGGAGTATAATTTTTGAATTATTACTTTCACATTCTACTCTTAGTGTAAGACTTAGTTTGTTGTTGAAAGTGAACTATAAGCTAAATTTTACGTTAATGGTTAAAGGTGTTTCCTTTTGAAAATATGGTATTTTCTTTTGAAAATATAGTCATCGTTGAACGAGTTAGCGTGCTGAATGAGCACAATAACGTACGTATCCCTCAACCAATGTGGGGGTCCTCTTAAGATGAAATGGGTTTGCTTGACTTTTTATCTTTCTTTGCCCCACCTACAAGTTGGGCTTCTTCCGTTCTGAACCTTTCCCGCGGAATAGTATGCAACCCGCGTCCGTTATGAGATACCCGATCCCAACATATGCTGTCATTTTCACCCAATGACTCCTCGACACGTATTGTATCTCGCGAAGCTGGATCCCCGTAATATGCAAACGCTCCCCTGATGCTCCACGTTTTCCCTCCATCATGGGACTGCTTCCACGTTCTCTTTTACGAGGTTGCATCACAGACAGGTGCTATCATACACCCGCACGTAGCGTATCCCAAGTTCGCCCCACACTCTTTCCTATATAAACTCCTCTCGACCCTGACTTGAAATCCCAACCAGACCCTCCTGGTTTATCTTCTGCCCCTTTCCCGAAAACTCCGTCCTCACACTCTCTAGAAACCTCCATCTGCTTCCATTCCCCAAGAACTGGCTAACTCTACGGCAAGTCTGGACGCTGATTCCAGCAACCATAAGCTGGTTCTCAAGCTATATGAGGCCTTAAGCTCGGGAGACTCCGACACCGTCGTCAAGCTCGTCGCACCTGATCTAGAGTGGTGGTTCCATGGTCCTCCGTCCGACCAGTATTTGATGCGCATGCTCACCGGTGAACACTCGTCGGATACCTTCCGGTTTGTTCCCCAATCGATCGCCTCCTTTGGGCCAATCGTCATCGTCGAGGGCTGCGACCACAGCCGCTCGATCTCGTGGATTCACGCCTGCACCGTCACTGATGGGGTAATCACCCAAATCAGGGAGTACTTCAACACTTCCCTCACCGTCACCCGCATCGGCGATTCCAGCTCGTCTCCGACGTCGGAGATCACTGCCGTTGCGGACGCGCTTCCTTCCTGCGTGTGGGAAAGCAGCCTCTCGCACCGGGTCGGAAAATCCGTGCCGGGACTCGTCCTGGCGATTTAAATACGCGTGACAGTCACGTGCAGCCATATTAATAATTCAATATAATAAATAAAGGACTGCACCGTGCCTACGTGTCTGTCTCTGACTCGCTTGGCTCGCGGACACGACCTTGTGGTGTATCGTGGACCGGGAGAGATGTGAGACCCTACCAGTTTCGTCGTTGTCTCGTTGGTGTGTTTTCAGGTTCCGCATTTCCGGTTGTTTGGTTATATTGTAGTTTTCCGTTAGTTTGGGGGTTGTTTGGAACGAAGATGGGGGTTTCCCGGATATCGTATCCTCACGAACGTGTAATCTGGTATTTGGATGGTCCAATAATAAAATGCGCGTGTGATTGCTTTACTAGTTGTGTGGGGACATATTTAGCAGCAAAGTTGCTGTCTTTGGATGCTAAGCATGTTTATCTGCACAGACGAAGATTTGACGATGGCTGATCATGAGCTGCTTATAATAATAATGGGGATAACACATGATTCGGGATGCAATTTTTGCTCAGGGAATAAATTATACCAAATGATTGTGTTTTAAAATTGTTGTTTAGGAAATTTAATCACTGTAAAGAAATCACTCCGTGACACTGATAAGGGCAAATCATGGTAGTGTTTCTTTAACAAAATTATTAAGAAAGGGCAATAATTCCCTTGGGTCTGATTAGTCACACTGTATTACTTTAAGAATATAGTGTTATTTTCAGCACAAGCAAAATGACAAAACTCTCCTCTCTTTCCCCAAATAGTATACTACTCTTCCTTTGCTAGCAAATGGAACCAAGCGATAAGAAGAATGGAAATTAACAAGGAGGAAAATGAAGCTGCTATAAGGTCGAAATGCCATAGGCCATCGGTAAAGCATTAAGAGACTCAAGAGTCTGTTTGAAATAGCATTTACAAAAATTTAAAAGCTTTATTAATTATGATTAAAAAAGTATTTATAAGTTATTCCTTTAATCTTTTGGTGGCCCGTCCTAAACTTATTTCCAAAGTTACGCAGAAGAGTTTATTTAACTTTAAATACAAGTCACTTTTAATTAATTTATATTTATTGATAAAAACAATTAAAAGTTTTAGATTTATCATAAAATTTAAATTACTTATAATATTATTGTTATTAAGAACGCTAAAATCTAATATTATCTTAATTTTAACTCTCTCTTATTATTCTTATTAAATATTGGCATAGGCCAAGGAAAAAAAAATCATTTAATACTTACCAATCTATCAAATACCTTACCGAGAGATATTAGAAGCATCTTCTAGAAGGCGTCCTATCATAATGATATATCACCTCTAATTTTTAATACAAAAATTAGTTTAATATTTAATATGATTATTAAATTTTAATTTACTTTTATCTCTAATATTTGTCTATTTTGCTGTCAACTAATCTCTATACTAATTGTATATGTTAAATAATTATTATCAATAAGTAACCTAAACACATATAATTCATGAGAGTATCTTAGAAAAAATAATATCTATTTATTATAAATAATTAATTTAATTAGTTTTTTAATCTTTTCAAATTAATTAGCGAGATCTGTTTAGTAAAACCAAGTCCGAGATCATGTTGGAGAATGGAGATCTGTTTGTTTAAACTGCAACTTAAAGTTCACTCACAATCTTGGTGAGAATGACTGCCAAGTTTTGAGGGACTTCCTTCGAAATTTAATTAAATTTGTGTGGCTTAATCGACACTAAACTTTTAAGATGGGATTAAATTATTAGTTTTGTGTTTTTTCCAAAGGGTCGTGGGCACCATCTGACGCTGATTGTCCTAAAGAACAAAATTCGAGCAGGATGATGTGACATGGCCGCTTTTCATGTCAAGCGCAAATTTTATTATCCATGGGGGCCCGCCCATTGCTTTTGAGCATCATCAACAAAAATAAGCTTTATCTCGTCGGATGGGATCAATTATATAAGTCATGTTGTGCCAGTATACTGTATTAACAGCTAAATTTGTAGATAATATATTGATCAGGAGATCTCCTTTAATAATTTTATTGAGTCATTTGAGCGTTTTTCTTAATCTTTCTCTGTCTTTTTTATAAAACTCTAAACTATCTTATTTATTCTTTTTGCTTATGCCTTCAATGACCTTCTCCGCCGCTTTTAAGAATTATCATTTTTGTTAATTGCTATTTGTGATTAAATTATCACGAGGTTAATTTATAAATAATAAATAATTATTTAAAAATAATAAATATATTAAAAATATTTTTTTTATTTTTAAACATGTCTTTATAATAAATGAAAAAAAAGATAAAAGACAATTTTTAAGGAAATGTGATAAGAGGGAGTATGACAAAGGAGAGAGAATAAATAATTAAAGGCATAATAGAAAAAATTGTATTAAATATTAAGACAAACTCAAATTAAAGCTTACAAAATGAACCACGCTTCTCTCCAAAATTGAAACTTATGGAGAGGACCGGATGGAGTCTAAATTTATAATACCGATGTTGACCAAATTTAGGTTTATATGATTTATTATGTTTATTAAATGTCCCAATTTTTTAAGTTAATATAATTTTTAATTTCTCAAAAAAAATTATTTAAAACACTAATTCCTACAATCACTGTGTTGAAAATCAGATTGAAAACCGGTGAACAGTGGGAATATGGCCCTGAATAACTCAGGAGTAGTCCGGTTAACTCGACCGATCTGGTGGGTTCGCCAAATTTTCTCCTTCTTCTTTTTTTCAAAAGCTATTTTGATGTAAATTTTTTTAAGTTGTTAGTAATTATTACTTAGTGATTAAATAAGTATAGGATGGAATATTTTGATATTTTATATATATAATATATGTGTTATGAAATTAATCAACAATGAAAGTATATTGGAGAAGAGAAGTAGACAAGAAAATGAGAGAATGATATTGTATTCCTTTACTTGCTTCACCTGCATCACAATACAATAGCATGCCTTATTTATAGGCATAATCTTGCACATAAGTTATATTTGTACTTAAATGATAGATAGTGGACAATAAACCACATGAATATGAGTGGAGGGAGTTACAAGATTAAAGGCATAGTGGAAAGGTAATAGAGTAGTGAAAGATTAATGTCTAGTGGAAGTAGTGGGAGTTGATGATGAAGTTGAGAGGGAGAGGAAGAAGAGGAGATGGACATCCACATGTTATAATATTCACAACAATATGGAATATTATATGCATATGATTTCAATTTGTCAAATAAATCGCAAAGAAAGTTGGGAAAAAATTATAAGTATGTGATTATTTTATTAGTGATTCAAGGTATTAAATTAATATTTAGTCTTTTCATGGTATGTTGAATATTTAAATTACTACCTCCGGTCCTTAATATAAGACCCCGTTTGACTTTTTGTTTGGTCCTAATTATAAGACTCCAATCCATTTTGTCTCTCATATTTATGCATTTTTTTCCAAGATAGTCCTTCTAATAATGATAGTTCTAGCCAATACACTTAATTAGCAAGGATATTTTAGGAATGACAACACTTATTTGTTACAAATAACTAACTTAACTTACTTCCTTAATCTCCTCAAATTAGTCAACTGGGTCTTATAATTAGGACCGGAGGTAGTAGTTCTTAATTTTTTTATTTTTCACTGGTTTGATCTCCGAGTTGACTTTGATCTGACCCATTAACTCTTTCTCCACTGCTTTGACTAGTTCAGTCCATTTTTCAATAGTTTGCATATAATTCAATAAAAACATGGATGGTTTACCCATTGTAAGATAAAAATATATGATTTGAAACTTGAAGAATCAAAACCAAAATAAAGACGAATTTAAGAGACTAAAGATTATATTAACCTTATTTTTTGGGGCCAAAATTAAGTTTCTCAATTGAAAATACAACAAATTAAATATATATTTTTATAGTGGGACAGTTAGTTATTTAATTAACAAAGATATAGTTATATTATTAACTTGTGTCTTTTTTTTGCCATAAATTTTAAACTTATATCTAAAAATCATTTGCATAACGCGCTGTGGTTTTAAAAAAATTATATTCAACGTTTTTCAATTGAACAACATACACTCATGAGTATAATCAAGGTACATGTGATATAATTTGTATATTCCTGTGGTATAATCCTAGTGATAAAACTATGCTAAAACAAGCTTATTAGGTTAAAATAGGCTTTATCTTTTAAAATTTTTGTTGGATTGTTTGATACGGAACTAAAACTCAAAAGCAAATGTCTGACAATGTAAAATAATAAAAAATGAGTTTTTTTATTGTTTTGCTTTTAGAAAGATAAAGTGATAAACACTACTGCAAGCGCTTCAAGCCGGAAACGAGGGAGGGCCCGGCCGCGGAGAGGTCCCATCCTCGTCTTTTTCCTCCTCTAGGGTCACCGACCACCACGGTAAACCAACCGATAAAAAAAAAAACTAGTTTTTCACAGTATAATAAATTAGTATTTAAATTTTTATTAAAAGATATGCTCATATTTAATACGTAACAGTGTCTTGAATAGAATTATCTTTAATAGAAGAATATATGTGCCTAAAAAAACACCTAAATGAATTATTTTAATTCTAATGATAAAAGATCATCGCCTAATCCATTTGTCACGAACTAATACTCCACCGTCTTTGAATATAAGAATTTTATAATTAATTAATAACATTAATTATAAGACTTCTGTAATTAATTAATAACATGGATTTAATTATTATTAAAAAATATGTATTAATTTTAATTATTTATATTGAAAATTACCTCCATTCATGAATATATTGAAGCAAGCCTCACAGCTCATAATTAACTCCTATGTGCAGGGGAGCTAGGGAGATTTATTTTATTACCCTGATAATTGCAATGAGGTGGGATATGTTTTTATTTCCCATCATTCCGTCACGTCAGCTCCTATATGGGCAATAAGAACCTAGTAATTCCTTCTGGAAGATGAACTTTTGTTTTGTTGGATGAATCTGATTAATTATATGCATGGAGCATAATATCTTAATGGTGAAAATATCTAGAAAAAACAACAAATAAGTAATTTTGATAAATTTAAACATGTCAAAATCATTACGAAAATAATAAATATCATTGATTTTTTTATTTTAAGATTCAACAAGTATTTTTTGTCATTTTTCTAAGAATTTATTTGACGCATATTAAAACTTTCTTTATCAACAGTTATAGTGATTTGTTTTTTAGTGAAGATTTTTTGCAATGAAGTAGAGAATTATAGTCATAAACTACATTAATATTCTAGGGTTAAACGAATTTAAGAAAACAATTGCAACGTCGCTCCGATGGAGCTTTCATGAAGAAAATGTCACATAATACAATAGCAACAGGGCATAAGATCTGATAAGAGAGGAGCTTTTTATCGAATCTGATTTGTTTATACTACCTCCGATATTTAATATAAGGCTTTGTTTGATTTTTATTTTGATCATAAATATAAGACCCCAATCTATTTTATCTCTTATATTTATGTATTTTTTTTCAAGATAATCCTTCTAATAATTGTAGTCCTAGCCAATATAGTTGATTAGTAAAGATATTTTAGGAAAGACAACACCTATTTATTACAAATAACTAACTTAACTTCTTTCCTTAATCTCTTCAAATTAATCAACTGAGTCTTATAATTAGGACTGGATGTAGTATATAATTACGCTTCATGTGCATCGATTAAGGGTATTCCTCTTGCAAGAAGAAAATGAATAGAACTGCATTTAAATAAATTATTAATTATTAATATATTTAGCGACAGAATAAAGTAGAGAATAATAACTTGATAAGAGATACTGCAGTCGACGAGAAGCCTTATTCGTATAACATTGCATTGGCACATGACATACGTGTCTGAGGGAATAGTCTAGACAAAGCTGAATTTGATTTTTCCTTGATGCAGGTGGAAAGCAGCCAAGAGGTCAGTGTCAAAGGAATAATTCAAAATTCGATTCCCATAATCCTGTTCATATTTATACATATATATATATATATATATATACACACACACACACTCTTTCCACTCTTGTGTTGCACGGAAAAATATTAAAAAAAAGAAGAAGAAGATTATGATGCCAATTGTATCATATATAAAAAAGCATCGCCAGCAATATTCAATCGTCTTTATTTGGCTTATTCCTTGGAATCTGGCGCATTTTAGTGACGATAAGAAGATTAGTATATCAGAGCAGTTGAATGTAATGCTGTCGTGTTGAACTTGGTTATGTGTTTTGCATTATATTATACTGCTAATTAATTACTCTGATGATGTGATATTATTGCGTGTTGCGTTTTTGTCCTGCTCGTCAGTTTCAACGTCCCGAGTTTGCTCCAGCCTGTGAGATGTCATTGCATGCAGCTGGGTCGCCTCGTCAATCACAACTAGCTTTCAAACACAGCCGCCATATAAAAGATATTTTGTCTAAGCTGAAAATTACATAATCAGGGCCTAAGTATTTACATTTTTTATGAGTTCGATTTAAAAAATTAATAAAATGGGATTAAAACTTGTTAATTAATTTATATTATTCTTCTGTTTTACATTTTTTCTCTATTAAAATTTTATAACTCCATTTTTTTAATTTTTTAAATTGGGTTCATGAAAATTTTTCCTCTTTTCCTCTCTTTTCATTTTTCTCATACCAAACATTTGTAACAGAGGGGTGGCGGGGACAGGAGGGGGAACAGAAGAAGGTGGAGGCTTTTGAGGCCACTGGGGATTGTCTGGGATTACACAGAAACAGAATCCACAAGCGTGGCAACAACTGAGAGCATGTTGATTGTATTATTAATGCATGTGAGAATATGGTTTGCACACGTGGGTTTATTCTTGCTTCTGATGCATGTTCCTGCATCTTAACACTCCTCTGTTGATTCCTGCATAGATGTGTGCAAGGTGACTATTTGTAGAAACCATGTCACCGTTATATATATTTATATATATATATATATATATTGGGAGTTTCTTGGTGGGCAGAAGAAACTAAACTCATATGTGACATCCTATAGAAAGCATGCAGCTTCCCGATCTGACAATTTAAACCCATAGTGATCACTAGGCATTGAAGAATTCTGCCTTATAATCACTGTTGAACCGGTACCTACTATCATATAGTATAGCATATATTACCTCCGGTTTTAATTATAAAATTTTATTTGTAGACTACAAACAAGATGTTATAATTAGAACCAAAAGAAGTATATAATAAGGTTTGCTTTAAATAAACAGGTGTAATTTGGTCATAGTTGTGACTTTAGGGGATGACATTGTTACTTAAACAGGTAGGCTATAGGCCTTATATGCCTCCTTACCTTCTTTTGGGTCTACTTCGAAGGACTCAACATATATGCTTCAGTTCTAAACATAATATTTATTTTGTAATATAAATTACACTACAAAATGAGCACTTCTTTTCTGTGCAGCATCATTTATATAGCTTGTGGCCTAAACAGTTTTTGAAGAGCGTGATGATTAGCTTTCAACTGGCCGCGTGAAACCAGATGATTCTTCGTTAATATGCGTTTGAAATCATGTAAAATATTGGAGATGATCTGAAACTTTGTGATCAAGTGGCATATAGTAAAGCTGTGCTTAGTATTTACTTAAAAAAAAAAAATCTTCACGTAAGTCAAGATAACTTTTTTTTTTTAACATATTCATTTTTAAAAAATTAATCCCAGGATCTTTAAAGCAAGAGATGGTAGATTCAATTCCTCCTATAAATTTAAACTGTTAATACTTTCTCTTTAATTTAAAAAGAAATTTTATTGGGAATGAGGTGTCATTATCATATTGAATGTTATGGCGGGAAACCCATCCATTTGATATTGGCAAGAAAGTCCAGGCCTATAAAAGCAATTAGTCATGAAAATAGTAGGATATCCGCTGTTTTTAGGCCCCTACTTATGGTTTTGATTCTTACCTTTGCATACAAAGAGTAAACACAGCCAAGCGAGATTTACTATGTACCCCACGTCCTTACAAAAGTAATTGGTGAAGGATACTCTTCTAGTCCTATTTTTTAAGGCACTTTTAACATATTTTATATAGATCAAGAAAAATCTTAAATTACATCAACTCTCTATTAAAATATAGTAATTTTTTTAACTTTATTCTTATTTAATATATACACCTTTACAAAAAATTATTTGTATTATAATAAATGAAGGATAATATAGTACACTTATGATAAAAATTTGATGAAATGTCTTATAAATAGGATAAAAAAATCTTCTCTCTTTATCTTATAAATAGGACCAGAGGAGTATTTTGGATGATCTGCCTGAAATAAATGAATTAAAATAATACTGATTTACTCTATTTTTATTTCATAATGTAAATAAACTGTTATTCATATTAAGGTTCAAAGTTCACATTTTGACGATTAATCATTACATGAATCCTCTCAATCAAGGAGACTGTGTGTGTTCATAGATTGAACATGCCTATTTCAAATTTTATGATGTTTATTTTGTTTGGAAAAAAATATGTACTTTTCATGTGTTTCTGCCGTTTAAAATTTGGAATTGATCTGTGCAGCCATCCATCCATAGTATCGATTGTTGATTAATGATTATGACCTTTTATCTAAAAAAAACAAAGAAAAAGAAAAGAGAGTTGATTATGTCAATTGTATGTATGATTGATTAGAAAATACGTATAGAGACGGCCAAATTCATCTTAATCTTATCTGGTGAGTGACATCGTTGTCTTTGATTTTTTTCTTCCCCATATTAGAATCTCCCGTCTTCTCATAATTTCATCGTTGGAACTCAAAGGAGATTAAGTCAATTCAGTGTTTTGAGTCCAAAAAAAAAAAAAATTCAGTGTTTGAAAACATCCTCAGATCCAGCAAGCACGTTATTGCACCCTTGCACCTGCTTTACGTATCGGTTTCGTTGGCCTTTTGACAAAAACAAAAAAAATCTGCGGCCTTATCAGTTATACTGCTCTGGATCTTTAATATAAAAAATTAGTTAACTAATTTAAATATATTAAAAAACTAATTAAATTAATTATTTGTAAATATTATCTTTTTAAAAATATTCTTACTAATCAAGTATATTGGCTAGAACTACTATTATTACAAAGATTACCTTGAAAAAAAAATGATAAATTAAATATGAGAGACAAAGTGGATTGTGATTTTATATTTAGGACCAAAATAAAAAATCAAATGAGCTCTTATATTAAGGATCAGAAATAGTACAACAATATGCCTAATTAAGTAGCCACTTAGTTCATAACCGCAAGTGTGGGCTTGATTCAAAAATTTTTTTTTATGCTAAGGTATAGGTATCTTCTTATTGGAGGCGATCCTATTCGAGGTACTGTCGGGCACTAAATGTGAACACCTCTTTTAGCAGGGATTTAATTTTAGTTCATCATATCATGAGAGACTAGTTTTTTTTTGTTAGACTCAACCCTATTGGTTTGATTCAAATTTTTGTAATTAAAGTCTCCATGCTTCAATATGCTGAATGAAAATTGGGGCCGTTCAGAGAGCCCATTGGGCTGAATCGATGGCCTCCCATATTGTTGCAGAGCATAATTTGGCACTTGGAAGCACGGGCCGAAGCCTCATCTTCTCCTACAAAGAGGACCCAAAACAAAACTAACCACTTGTAGTAGCAGCTCTATTCCAATCCTTGTGAATTAATTCAGCATCATGGATCAACAAGGAGTGAAAGGAGCTGGATCCCCATAACTTAATGAATTAAGATTTCAATTCTAACTAAAAGATATGCTTATATTTAGTACTTAATAATATTTCAAATTGGACTGCTTCTAATAAGAAGATATTTATGCTTCCCTAGTAATCCGATGGATGACATGAGTCCATACATTCAACACAGTTCCTCATAAATAATACATATGTCATTTTTTTTTAGACGTGAATGTTATTTTTATTGTTTACTCATAAAATTATTTTTTAAAAAATTTTAATTCGCATAGTATATTACGTGTGAAAAGTGATCCAGGTAACGGTGCCCATGAGTCAACCTCTAATCTATGAATCTCAAGGGCATGATACTCAAACGCAGTCGTTTAAATGTACATTTAGATTGGATTGAGAGAACGAGGCATTGGTTTACTAAGGAAGTTGTAATGGACTAATAGTCCACATTTTTAATTGCCACCAATGTAATCGTCCACTGTATCAATGCTTTCCCAACTCATAAAACTTCTGACCCGTTGTGTCTTCACTGAGGCGTTGACATGATTTATGAATTATGAATATATATATATATATTCGTTTTAGGTAAATATTAGTTATTATAGATTGGCTTCAATTTAGTTAAATGACTTATTATATAATACTACCTCCGGTCCTTAATATAAGACCTTATTTGACTTTTATTTTGGTATTAAATATAAGACCCTAATCTACCTTGTCTCTCATATTTATATATATTTTTTTAACATAGTCCTTCTAATTAGAGCTGGTAATATGGGTCAACCCGCTGGTTATGTGTTCGCCTGCGGTGGGTTTGAAGCTTGGCGGGTTGGGCTTTTTAGGACTGTTTTTTGACGGGTTGGAATTTTTTCAACCAAGCCCGTTAGGCTAACCCGCCAGCCCACCAAATTTTGTAATTTTTTAAAACTTTTTTTAAAAATAAAATATACTCAAATTTCTAAACACACAAAATAAAACATGCAAATAGAAATTACCATAAATAAAACATGGAATCCAAAGTTTCAACTTTCAACTTTCAAATATATCAGAATATTAAATATATGATCATGATACATCCTTAATAATTTAACAAACATCTCAAATTAAAAGGGGAGCTTGGGGCTTGGGACTGGGAGTTTGGGAGAACTCGAGACTCGGAGTTTGGGAGAACTACGAAACGTAAGCAAGAGGGGAGTTAGGATAGGAGGTTGATGACTTGAATCACTTGATGGCTGATGCTTGATGCGGCTGCGTTTTGACGGATTTTTCAAGCTGAAAATTGAAAGGAAAAAAAAAACGAGAGAGAGTAGGTCATGGGGATTAGGGAGGCAAAACTGCATAAGGCTCTGAATGAACTGCTACTATGTTGGACTGCTGGTTTGGACCGAGAGACTAGAGAGTAAAAACCAAGAGGCAAAGGAGTTTTTTTTTTTAAAAAAATTTAAATAGATTGGCCCATCAACCCTGCGGGTTAGCCTGCTGCCGGTTTGGTCTTGGCGGTTACGAGCTTAAAACTTCCATTTTAAAACGATCCCAATTTTTATCAACCCAACCCGCCACTTATTGGCTGGTTGGTGGGTTGAGCCCACGGGTTCAACTCATATTAACGGCTCTACTTCTAACAACGGTAATTTTAACTAATATACTTGATTAGCAAGGATATTTGAGGAAAAATAATACTCCTCCGGTTCTAATTATAAGACCCAATTGACTTATTTGAGGAGATTAAGAAAGTAAGTTAAGTTGGTTATTTATAATAAATAAGTGTTGTCATTCCTAAAATATCCTTGCTAATTAAGTATATTGGCTAAAACTATCATTATTAGAAGGATTATCTTGGGAAAAAATGTATAAATATAAGAGACAAAATGGATTGGGTCTTATAATTAGGACCAAATAAAAAGTCAATGTGTCTTATAATAAGGACCGGAGGAGTATATCTTTATAACAAATAACTAACTTAACTTCTTTCTTTAATCTCCTCAAATTAGTTAATTAACTTTTATAATTAGGATCGGAGGTAGTAGCATCAAAATAAAAATATCAAAAACTATTTTTCCAATAGCCTGCTTTAATAAAAATGATAATTCAGTTTTTAAAGAAAATTTGACGATATTTTGATGACGATGAGTGTGTTCTTAAAAATCCCTCAAGGTTGTGTTGCCGGCATAGGATTCAAGGACTCTGCATATGCATTGTGCAAATGAAGCCTAGATAATCGTACATTACCATCTGAAGAATTCCCATCAGAATTAGAAATCCAAATGCCCACCGGAAGGTCTTGAGCCAAAACCTTATCCATCGCCGCTCCACAATTGCTCTGGGTTTCTTTACCCCTGTATGGTTTGATGGGAATTTCACACCAATCTTCGGCTAGGCTTCAGGAGTTATCGAGGATTGTCTCGTCCGCCAAAGCCCCTAAGCCCAACAAAGCTCTCCCCACGTCGCCGAATCGAGTTGCGGGCCCGGCAGCTCTCAAATCTCAGGCATCGCAGCTGAAGATGGAAAGCTCCGAGGGGAAGAAGAATCGGATTCCGCTTGCCCACGTGGTCGCCGATTGCGCCAAGCGGTGGTTCCGGGACACTCTCAAGGAAGCTCAGGCCGGCGACAGCAGTATGCAGCTCCTGGTCGGCCAAATGTACTACTCTGGCTATGGTGTTCCCAGAGACCCTCGAAAGGTCTTTTTTTTTTTTTTTACCTTCATGCCATTCTGTGTTTTCTCATTATCTGAATCCCCACAGACGAAGCTGAGATAGTGTGTCGGCAAGTCTTTTGGTTTTCTTTTGAACATTGCAGCCAAGGGGATCTTTTTTCTCTGACTATTTGAGAGGAATGATTGAATTGACTAGCTTGTTTAGAGTTATAAAGTCGTTCAATAGGATTGGGCTATCAATAGGGACAATGCAAGTTTTCTGGCCGGCTTGCTCACATAGTAATGAAGTTCCGTGACTCCGGTGGTGTTCAATGATCTTTGAATTTCTGACAGCTGAATTTGTCACAAACTTGTTCTGAAGGGACATGCTTGGATTAGCAAAGCATCAAGGACTCGAAGTTCAGTATGGAAAGCTAGCGAAAAGCATCCAGGTAATCTCTCACTCTTCTCTTGTCTAAAGTATAAGAGCTAGTTGACTAATTTAAGTAGATTAAAAAAATAAGTTAAGTTAGTTATTTGTAATAAATAAGTATAATCTTTCTTAAAATATCCTTGCTGATCATAAGGACTATTTTTGAAAATAATGCATAAATATGAGAGACAAAGTAGATTGAGATCTTATATTTAGGACCAAAATAAAAGTCAAACGAGGTCTTAGACCGGAGGTAGTATATGAATTTTGGCTTCACATGTTGTAGTGACAATTTACTTTGTTTCCGTTTAGGTTATAGAGCAAGTGACTCTGATTCGAATGAAATGGAGAACAAAGATAGATGAAGTTGTCTTCCATCACAGTTTGTAAGTACGGGGCTAGTGATTAGACTATGGAATTTCCTACCGTCATTTTCGGTTAATTCAGATTTGCTTGCTGGAATTGTTGTTATTGGATGTCTTACATTTTAATTATCACCGGCTCTTACTGACTATAGCATCCTCACCATCTTTATAAATATAATCTTGCTTATACTGTTGTTCTTTATAGTGCTGTCTATTATGTTTTGAAAGGTTGTCGTGACATTTATTTTAATTTCAGTGTTATGATAATCTGAGACGGCAAATTGATGATCTAATTTCGGAAGCTCTGAATAATGAGTACCATGCTTCTAAAACTGAGAGTAACTCTTGCATTATGGCTTTCTTATTGTTACAAAAATGTTATTTATTGACTCTGGAGCTTACCGGATGTCCTTTTTTTGTTTTAAAAATGAACAGTGCTTTCATGACAAATGCGATTGCTTCTGTACTTCAGAGACATTTCTCTTTTGAATGTCAATTTTTCTATTTATTTCATACGAGTCTTCCAAAATAGATGCCAACTTCCTTTTCCCTTGCCAGTCTCCCTCTGCCTGGCCTTCACGACCACTTTATTTGATTTGCGGAGTTATTGCCATTAGAAAAGCAGTGTCACATTCAGATCTAAGTATAAAGATTGCAACATAGTTTGAAAAGAAATATCATTCAATCAATGCGTAACTTTGCTCATCTATACATAATTAACATCTTCCGAAATGGGAATTAATGGAGTCCTGGCATTCAGATACAAGTTTGTTTCTTCTTTTCCTTTCCTCCTTTTTTTTTCTCCTTTTCCTGGTAGGCACAGATATCTTCCTATCAGAGGCAATTTTTCTTCTTTTCCTTTCTTCTCATGTTTCTTCTTCACTGTTTTGTCTATTTATAGTCACAGTAAAGTTAAGTTAGTTTCTATTTGATTCTTGTGCTCATAGAAGTTCTAAAATATCTTTATTACATCCCGATTGTATCAACTGTCAAATGATAGTAATCATAAAATTTCAAACAATGTATTTGGTTACTATTGTCTATTCTTGGGCAAAGTTTTCAAGTCAGATCAGAATGAATATTTTAGTTTAATGATTATAACTTGTGAGTGCATTCACGAGGCATTTAACTTTTCTAATGATATTACTTGGTTGCTAGAGCTATCAAACTACGTATATTGCTTGGTAAATTCCTAAGAAGCATGGTTATTGATAATGATATGTACATGAGGCATGACACCATGAAAGTTGATGTGCTGATGGCAATTTGAAGAGCTGCATTGTGTTTGATGCGGGTTTTTAACATATTTAAAGCGTGTCTAGAATGATACAGGTGTTCTTTCTTTTTTGTGTTTTTTCCCCTGACACAAGGTTCTTCATTTTTTGTAGTGACCTGTTGGGCGTTATTTTCGCGTGCTGCCATGTTGTATGATATCCGGCGTGATTTGTAATTTTTCTCTTGAATTCTCTGTCGTACAATTTTCTGTATTTTTACTCCGACTCTCCTATATTGTCACTGCAAATGTAACTGTGGGCTGTAGTTTTAGCTACCTGGTTAGCTCTCATCTTCTCTGAATGAGCCAGTGACTACCATGATGGCTAATAAGGAAAAAAAATATTTATTTATTTTTTTTTTTCAAATTGAAGAATTCGTTTGCGTGAAGATTTAAAGGTTGCTAGTCATACTCACGACATTTTGCAGGGGCAGAAGTACTGACATAGTTGCCAAAGCGCTTTATGCATATTTGTGAAAGATAATTTCTTTCAAATATATTGATAGATATTTATTTTCAATTTTCGCTATGAAGAAAAAACGTTAAACTAAGGTAAGGAGAAGGTTCAGGTTACTTCTTAAGTTATACACCAAACTTGCAGCAATTGCCCTTGTAGGAATCCCAGGAATCTGAACATCTGGTGGATGAAAAATTGGCAAAGGATGAGCTTTGTGGTGAATAGTAATGAATGTGAATAATAAAGGTTGTGAACAGAGTCGTGCACTTTGAGATAAAAAGGTCTGATATGATCAGAACAGATGATTGTGAGAGAAAGTAGGTTTAACGTTGTTCATTCAAACCTGTAATCGGCGCCTTACCTTCTCATTTCTTCTCAATCTGTGTTTTCAGCAGCTCAAAGGTTTCAGTCTTCATAATGATGGAGTTATAGTGCTCCGTTTGTCTGGTAAAAAGGAGAGATCTTTTGTCGTCCATTGATAAAAATTACTGGACACTCCCATTGCCTCAAATTTGAGATGAACTGTTGCCTCCGTTATTCAAATGATAAGTGAATAATTGTAAACGTCACCGAGTTTTAACGCATAACATCTTGAAATTTTAATAAATTTTACTTGTTTCCAAGGGCACAAAGGGGCAATTACAATTATATAAGTGATGATATTTGCGTTATGCATTGCTATGCAGATTAATGAAGAGGTTTGTATATTTATTTTTGACAGATAGGAGATTTGTTTATAAAGGACAAAGAACCAAACAAATTAACTAAAAATAAATACTTTTATGCTTGTTCCTGTCATTAATATTTAAAACATCACTTGTTAAAAGTAAATAACCACGTCTAGTTTGAACTAAAATTTGTAGCGACCAGAGTGAGTGAGGAAGAGAATCCACATCATATCAATGCATCGCATCATGCTTGCCTGCCAAATGCCAACCCTAAACGAGTGAGTGGAAGCCACTCACTTCCAACCCAACAAAAAAGGGGAATAATTTGGGCTTGACCTTTATTCCAAGCAAACCAGAAGTTTCCTTTCAGAATCCAATTCCTTCCTCACTACTCATCTCCACTCTTTTGTGTGTGTGTGTATATATATATCATATCTCTTTTCCCCTCTCCCCCCTCCTGTCAACATTATTTGATATCAGTTTCCGACCACCATAGTCATTCAGAATGACAAATGTAAGTGCCCATCAATTCTGTGTTTGATAATTGATACGGACGTGTTTCTCCAGAGCCAGATAGAGGAGCTGAAATGAAAGGGTGTGTGTTGTTTTGTGTTTGCAGGTGGTGGAAGTGAGAGTGGGCTTGCACTGTGATGAATGCATAAAGAAGATCCTGAAGGCCATCAAGAAGATCGAAGGTAGGTACTTAAGAAATTGAAGTGATTAATTTATGGGTGTGATCTATGAAATCAAAATTAAGCAGTGTGAATGTCGCAGAGATCGAAACGTATAACGTGGACACAGAGCTGAAGAAGGTGATCGTCACCGGCAACGTTACGACGGAGCAAGTCATCAGAGCTCTTCAGAAGATTCGCAAGAATGCTACCCCCTGGCACCAACCTCAGCCCAACTCCTGAATCTCTCTCTATTCTCTCTTCGTTCTATAGACTACATGTATACATATGCAAGCTATGAGATTTTCAGATTGTAGGAAGTGACTATTTAATTTTTGGAGGCTTACATACCTTTGCCTCAGTTTTGTAGCCCCTGAGATTTATCTGCGTATTATCGATACTCATTATTTTAAGTTTTTGATTCAAAATTTTGACTATTTGTCTCGTTCGTTAGAGTTCGTATGGTTTCTCGTTTTGGTTATTTCTGCAATATGCCTCGTGTTAGTTTCCCAGGGCTAGTTGATGAAAAATAACACATATTTGAAGTGATTCGATCTTTTAAAGGAAGTAACATAAGCAATCATCCTATATCTTGATCACTATTGATTCTTGAATAGAAAAATTGCAAATAAGATTCTCACACAATTTTGAATGGGAAAAAAAAGAATCTAAACAGCTTTTTTATTTAAAATAAAAAGAAAGGAAGAAAGAAAGAAAGAAACTTGCTAGAAATTATCCCCTGAAACAAGTTGGGCTGTCAAGATATTGACCCGGTCCAATCTTATGATTGTACTCAGCCTAGCTCATCCGTTGGGTCAACTTCCAGTGCAATGTGTATTGATCCAACAGGAATAATTAGTCTTTCAAAATATGGTGAATCAAAATTTAAATTTTTATTATAAAAAGTGTTCATATTTAATATATGACCATGCCTTAAATCAAATTGCCTCCAATAGAATACTTGTGTCTAACTGGAAAAAAAAATGTTACATTTCTTTCCTCTTTGACTCTTTTTTTTCCCTACAAAAAAAAAGGTGTTCTTGAAATATATCCTAATATTAAAAGAAAGGGTCTAGTTTTCAAATTTCAACATAAAAATATTACTCCTCCGGTCCTAATTATAAGACCCAATTGACTTATTTGAGGAGATTAAGGAAGTAAGTTAAGTTGGTTATTTATAATAAATAAGTGTTATCATTCCTAAAATATCCTTACTAATTAAGTATATTGGTTAAAACTATCATCATTAGAAGGATTATCTTGGAAAGAATGCATAAATATAAGAGACAAAATGGATTGGGGTCTTATAATTAGGACCAAATAAAAAGTCAAATGGGGTCTTATAATAAGGATCGGAGGAGTATTATATATGATGGATGATATTCTAATACGCATCCGCGTGATGAGAGCTTATGAAAATGAAGAACAAAGATGAAAATGGAACAGAATAAATTGTGTTTGTTATAAAATAGAAAAAAGAATAAGAATATATTCCCATTTATTTTTAAGAAATGAAAGAAGGGAAAAGACTAAAATAACCCTTATGCGAAACATGAAGGGCACTTGCCTACCCAGCCAACCCCCCCCCCCCCCCGGGGAGTTAAAAATGGTCAAAAAAGCACCAGCAAATTGCCATAACGGGAAAGATTCTCTCCGTTTTTTCCTCATAAAGCCAGGCGTCCCTTCCTAGCTCCTTCCTCGAGTAGTTAACCCCCATCCCATCGGCTGCGGTAGGCCGTAAAAGCCGCTTCTGAGGTCCAAAAGCTTCTCAGAATCTCATGTCAAGTTCAGCGTTGTCGTCATCTTCCACAAGCATGAAGATTGGGTTTGTGGGATTTGGCCGCTTCGCGCAATTTCTGGCGAAGACATTTGTCAGACAAGGGCACACTCTTCATGCTACTTCTCGCTCTGATTATTCCACCCTCTGTTCCCAATTAGGGATTCAATTCTATAGGTTTTGCATCATATATATATTATCAAACCCTCCCTCCCCCTCTAGTTATCGTTTTCATTCACTAGTATCTTTCTTGTAGGGAAGTGACCACATTCCTTGACGCCGACAACGACGTCGTACTCATCAGCACATCTATTCTTTCCCTACCAGAGGTTCTCAGATCCATGCCACTTGATCGACTCAAAAAACCTGTACTCTTTGTTGATGTACTTTCAGTCAAAGAGTTTCCAAGAGAAGTTCTACTACAGGTATACCAGACAGGCATTGCTTCGTATCAGTGATTTCACTTAACTTTATTTGATTTCCTCGATGCAATCTTTGTATTTCTGGCTGTAAGGTTTTGCCGGAGGAATCGGATATTCTCTGCACGCACCCAATGTTTGGACCAGTTAGTGGCAATGATGGGTGGAGAGATCTCAATTTCATGTACGAAAAAGTTCGAATCAGAGATGAAGATATCTGCTCCAATTTCCTCAAAATCTTTGAAAGCGAAGTAGGTTTCATAGCTTATGGAGTCATTGATGAATGTTTCACCATTATCCAAGGTGGGTTAGGGGATATTTTACAGTAATTTGTGTTATCCAGGGTTGCAGAATGCTGGAAATGACCTGCGAGGAACATGATCGATTAGCTGCCAAGAGTCAATTCATCACACATGCCATAGGCAGGTATGGAGCTTTCTACGCATTATCTAACATGAACAAGTGGCATAAAATGCTCACCAGAGATAGATTCATCTTTTGACTTCTCGTTGTGTAGGGCACTGGGAGAGATGGAAATCACGTCCACACCTATCGACACCAAGGGCTTTCAGACACTTGTTCAAGTGGTACGCCATATATTTGCTCAATTATTCACATTCCCCATTCTTCTTACTCAAGTTTTCCTCTATTCAGTCCAATTTTAGCCACAATAATTAATTTAATAGTTATTTTACTGTCCCAGAGTGATGTTATTCAAATTGAAAGAATGGACGATTAATTTGGTTCCAGCTTCCAGATTTGAATGCTTCTTTACTTCTTTAGTTTTCGTACCTGATTTTCTTTTTTTGCGGCATGAGTTAATTTCTCAAAATATTTAGTCAATAAAAAATAATCATTCGATTTGGTGTATCATACTTGTCTCGTACGCTAACTGATGTATCATGACGTAATTGCAGAAGGACACCGTAATGAGTAGTAGTCTTGACCTCTTCAGCGGATTGTTCATGCATAACAGATTTGCCAGACAAGAGGTAATCAAACTGCTTGCCAATTGCTTATTTCCAAATATTTAGTATTAAAAAAATTATTCACTCTTTAAAATCACTGAACCAGGGAACTAACCATTGACTTATGACCAATATGCAGCTGGAAAACCTTGAAAATGCCTTGCACAAAGTCAAGGAGATGCTGATTCAAGAGACGAATGAGGAGCAAGAGAAGACTGAATGTTGATGCTTTGTATTGTTGACGATTAAGCAGCATTCCTGAGCTATGTATCCTCTTTTTCAATTTCTATCCCATCCTATGCCCTACATCAGTCTAAATCTTTCATATTTCTTTATAATAAATTTCTCGTAGGGCTTGGAGAGATAGGGACAAACTTCTTAGACACTTGTTTTTATGTTGCATTATTTCCGAACTCTACAAGATGTTCACCATCAAGATTTGTAAAAGATCCTTCTACTATAAAATTGATCTTATTTCTATTTTTTTTTGGGCAAATTAAGCTTCTGCACAAGGCTGAACAAACAATGGGGCAGCTTTTGAATAAAACTCAAATGGCCGCAGGCGAGTTTCAATAATAACCATCAATCACTTGTTACCATTCCAGGATTTCTGCCCACAGACTGCAGGATGTACTCAGTAAACTCAGATTGTTCATCCTTGCGAGAAATGCTATCTGAGCATCACTAAAAGTATGTACTACCCTGGAGGAAGGTGCACTGCTCCATAATCCTGGATAAAGACGTTAAAATGTAGACTGGACAGTCCAACGTCGCTCGTGGTCACGTAGTTTTGTTGGCTAAGAAAATAAGATTTATCAAGAGGCGTCACTGGAATTCAACAACATCGTTTCGAGACTTTTTTTTTTTTGTTCACGTGACTTGCAACAATAATGTTTGCTGCTATACTCACTGAACTGGGAGAATCATATAAAATGGTATACAATTGAGTAGTGAAAGGAATATGTGTTCGTCATAGAGATATAAATAAACATGAAATGAAGAAATCCTATTCGGTTGTGCCTATTGTACAAAAAGTAAACTTAATACGATCCTTTATGTTTTTTGCTACCAGGTTTTCCAATAAAATAACATCTATGATTTAAAAAAAAAAAAAGAAAGAAAAGAAATCAGTAAAGCTGAACATAAAAACAACAACCTTGTCCTGTTATTATGGGAACACCACACACTTATTATCTTGAGGAACCTGATAACAAAATATAAAGAATCGTATATAAGTTTCTCCTTAGTAGCACAAGCTACTGAAAATGAGGCAGGAGTATTGTCACCTCATTTGCTTTGGATATCGTCAACACCAGCTTCTTCTGTTTCGTTGCACACAACTGCAGCTTGGTTAGGAGAATCTGGTATTTGTAGAGAGGATGATTCGGTCTTTTTAACTTGCAGTCCAGTAGACCGGGCAAGGTCAATCCATTGCTGCAGCAATTTGAGAGGGGAAAAATGGTAAAAATTAGTTTTTCTAATATATGGATGCTCAGTACAAATGAAATTCGATGATAAGCTGTAATATTATAGAGTACTGATTTGTGGTTGAGGTGGTTTCCAGAGAATAAATGCACAAAAGAATTCATCCACCATCCTAGAGCCGCCAAAAGCTTTTGTCTTTTTTTCCCTTCCAACTCCACAGAACTTTAATCATGCTAAATAAAGTCTTCCACCAAGACATGATTATACTAAATCATTTTACCTTACAGAATATTTATTACTATGAACATTACGATAAGAAATGGCCCACAAATGGAGTAAAAGATACTCTCTCGGTCTTTAATGTAAGACCTAATTGTGAAGTTAGTCTTGGTCTTAAATGTAAGACTTATTTTTTATATTTATTAATTTTTTCCAAATCACTCTTATTGATACTCCCTCAGCCATAATTGAGTAGGAGAAGGAGGGAGGATATTAAGGAAAATTATTAAGATATTTTAAAAAAAAATATGTCATATTTATTATAATTAATTAACTCACCTAACTTCTTTAATTTAATCATATTAGTTAAATAGATCTTACATTAAGGAGCGAAAAAGTATTTCCAAATCACTGGCTGAATGTTTAACCGAGGAAAAAGAACTGGCCTTCTGAAGATGGAATTGTGGGCAAGTTGGCATAATGCAAGCAAAAGCACAGAAGCATACAATAGAAAGTAGAAAAAAGGGAGGGAAAAAAAAATAAAAAAAGAATACTAACCTGAGTTCCCAAATAAGAATTGATTGTCCGAGCAACAAAAGATATTATATTAAGAAGAAGTGTTTGGGATGAAAACTGCTCAGAAAGCCGGTGCTCCACAACTCCAGCGATAATCTGCAAAACAATTTGTTCCCATTTCAGTATCCAACACCGGAAGACAATCACAGATCTTAACTTCCTTCAAGAATGCAAATAAAATGGAACAGCCTAGCTAGTTAGCTGCAATTACTATCAAGGAAAATATTTTCAAAACATTAGCCAGTCAACGCAAGAAGTACAACGGAGAAGAATAAATCATTAGAAACATGGTTATCTTTGAACTAGTCTTTAACCAGAACTTTTTTAATGGTCTTCACTTCCCTAGATTTCAAGTCGGAGGTAGGTGGTTATCCCATATTTACAAGTTTGATAACCGACAATATATATATGAATTAAATATTTTGGGAAAAAAAAGCCTCTCAATAGTTTTTAGAAGTCTTAACACAGCACAATACACTGAAAACCTCAAACTCTTCCTTAACCTCAAACACCGGAAAGAAACAGCTTTCCACATTAGAAAAGCAAAAACCAATAACATGGCAGTATAAGATGGCATTTGCCACAGAACAAGTAGGTCTGATTTTTCTTGAACTCTTCTATAAAACATTGGCTACAGTCAAAATATTATAATTTGTATAAAGTCCGTTAGGGTTATCACTCTCCATACCTGATAACGAAGATTTGCAGATATTCCAAGAAAAGACGCATACACAACTGCTGTTTTGAGTATCGGTGATCTTATAATCCGTTGATTAGAAACAACTGCTGGATTAAAGAATCTACGAATTGCAAACAATGCATTTGACGAAGCCACAGTTCCTATACTTGAGATAAACCCAACACTAGCAAGTTTTAAGCCACCAAATAAAACAGATGCAACTCTATGATTGAGATCCCAGTTAGTCCCCACAGGACTTTTCTGAAATGCATTGTCAGGGATGGAGCCCAGAAGACCTCTCAAAGCATCAATGTTGTCAGGTGCATTCATTTCATCAGCATAAGAAAGGAATGACAAAGTCGGGGCAGGAAGCCACACTGTGAAGAAATCAACAACTGAGCCCCTGACTGCGTCTGTTATAACATAGTCAAGCTCTTCAAAAAAATTTTCCTTCCGCTTCTCATACTGTGCTATTAGTGTAGTTGTTATTGATATGGCTTCCTCTATGGCTAATCTATTCAAGAATCTGGGATCTGCCAATAATCGTTCCCTAAATCCCTGCATCCAGGACAGCCGGATAGAGATGTAGGAATATGAGTAATCACAATGATAAAATAGTCTCATGATTAAAATCAAAGCATTCTGATTTTAAATCTGAAAATACCTGGAATCGATGAGTGAGTTCTGAAATCAGTGGATACTGCTCTAGATCAAAAAAGTTCTGCAACACCTCAGGTGATACCAAACCAAGATCAATGCCCTTTTGAAGATCCTGAAAATACATGGCAAATTTATCGATTATATATACAGGATAAGGGAACAGTTATATACTATGCTATCTAAATATGATGTTATAAAGGCGAAAGCAGGTTCCAGAAGAACAAGAACTAAACCCACTCCAATTATCTGATGATGATAGCACAAACAATTCACACTCGGTCACACTTGCAACTACGTACTCATACTCCCTAATCCCTAATCCAAATTATAGAACAGAAAATTCTAGAGATATCAGCAATGGATTTTTTTAGCCACAATTTTGGGCATAATTTTTTTAATTTCTTCGAGGCTTATAAATGATTGCAGAAAGCTATGGCATATGGTAGACAGAAAATACAAGAAGTACTGATCTGTAACACCTAATAATTTTCAGAATGTTTTGAGTTCTTATCCTTGTGATACACACAACAGAAGACAAAGGGTTAAAGATGAGGGGTGGGAAGAAAAAGGACAAGTCAGATGAACAAAAGTGGATGTACAAATTAATAAATTCAATAGCCAACCTGTGGAAGGGCATCCCTCTTCCGACCAGCTGCATTCATAATCCGTGCAACCTCAGCACGATCAAAGCAGTTTCTACTACATGGTCTGGCAGCAGAATACCACAAGAAATCAGCAATGGGTACTTCTCCCTCTCTTCGAATGAGTTGCCTTTCAGGATCAAGTAATATGACAACTTGATTTTTCTTCTGCATTTTCCTTGAAATTCTCGCTGGCACTCCAGTTCCTCTTGATCCATAAGTAATGTGGCTTGCACCAGTCACAACCACTAACATACCACTAGCTCCTTCCTCCTGAACATTTTGTAAGATGATCTGGGACATGGTGTAATCTTCAACTACTCTTGCCTGTGCAGATAGATATGAGAAAGGTATAGATGGATTTGGAGTAGTCACATCTCCTGGTGATCTGCGCGAGATTGAAGTAAAGCCTGATATGAAGCCTGAACCAGCTGGAGGAACATAAAGTTTACGATCAGCCCTTGAAAGCCCACGAACTCCTTCTGCTTGCACAGTCCTTAAGACCTGTTGATCAAGACAGTTACCATGCCATCAACCATTGTTATGATAGTTAACACACATTATGAGCACTTAACTAGTCATATTTTTATCTTATGCAAGACAGAAACTTTAATGACTGTGAACAAGAATAGTATTTTTTTATCTGAATTAAAATTTAAATACATAGCTCCCAATTACGTGTACTTATGGAATTTGACACATGGGAGATGCCCTTTGATGCACCAAACATTTACATCTGTCATAAGCTTAACAGATTATGATGCCTTCCTGTTTTCTCCCTCAGCTGTTCTCCTTTCTACCAAACCTTCTATACATCTCTATCAATTTTTAAGAGTGAAGATATGCATCAAAAGCTTTTATCATTCATAAATACATGATAATAGCACAATGCATATATAGAAAGCTATTGGCCCATTGCAAGAAGCAAATCGTACGTTGTTATCTACCCATGCGGCTCTACGCCAAACAATAGATGATTGCCTTATATAGACATACACACCACAACCTTGGTATTTTTTTCACTAACTTCCAGTATGCTCTCCACCAGACATGTCATAGCCAAACATATTAAGGATCTGCATTGGCTTGGATGAAAACAGAAGCATACCTCTGGTGGGGTGCCACAAGCAACGAGACGAATTTCATTATCACGACAGTAGCTAAAAAGAGGTTCATACTCCTGCCACTTTTGAGGTGGCCAATGTAATGTATAAGACTTTAAGGTTTCTCCATCTATCCTGCCATGAAATCCAGGATGTAATAATGCAGGCTTGTGAGAAATATTTTGACTAAGATAAATGAGAGATTGGCCAGAAAAGAAGCTTAAAAATTAGGGAGCGAGGGGGAAAAGAGGGATAGATTCGGCAGTGTATATCTTTAACAACCTAAGATTCTGTAACAGGCGTGAAAGAAATAGACGTTGTCAGCAGTATACATACATTTATACATTAAAATTTCCATTTACATAAAATGGATACAGAAACTTCACTTATTACTGCTAAAATATTGGTTCCTAAGGATCAGACCTTTTGCACACTTAAAATGAGCACTGGAAAAGAGTAAATAGCAGCACTTCAGCCATTTTCATGTCCCATACATCACAGCACTTTAGATGGGTAAGTCATCACATGGGAACATATAGAGACGGATCGACTTCAAGTCTACAAGTGCAATGAGTACACAAGAGAACAGTACCTACAGTTTTCTTCCTCCTATTTGATATAAATAAAAGATGCTGATACTTATTCCACTTCTCAGGTTGATGGCTAAGGTCACGGAGAGAAAGGAAAACTCAACCATCTAG